ACATCAGCCCCTCATCGCCTGTGTCGCCCCCATATCATCCTTACAGCAATGTGACCCTTGCAGAAGTAGAGAATAAAGGGTTTACAAGCACAAGGTCGCGCAAAAGCTTCCTTCCAAACCTGGACTCTCGTCAGAGTCTTCCACCCCAGACATTGCTAAACTATGGCCCAGGTGTACCGAGACTGTCAGCCCCCACTGCCATAACGCTTGCTTAACATTAGTCGGAACTAATTACCCTACAGCGGCTCACCATGAACCTCTAGTTTGATACCTACTGCGTTGCCAGTCTTTCAATAGAAATGTTCTTCTATGTTTGTTTGCAATGAGTCGTCTCCAGAGACTTGAGGACTCTGCCTCGTTCTGCACGTTACTGTAGCCCTTAGATCTCGAGCATTATATGAGGAAGTTTGGCAATAATGCATGCACGACATCCTTTAGTAAACATTCATTTTGCATTACTTTTGCTTCCATTCTCAGCACTGTCGCAGTCTCTTTCCATCACTCGATCTTCGTCTCCCAACCGCCTTCGGCTTCAAAGATTTCGCCGACAGCTTTGCCGACTTCCAAGAGGTGACGGTCGTGATATCGTGGTGCGACGAGGGAAAGGCCGATGGGCATGCCGTGGTCACCCTTGAAACCTGGTACATTCAGGACTGGGACATGAAGGCCCTACACTATTGTTAGTCTTCGTAGGATTCGTACACAGTTTGTCACGTACACTCCACATCGCGCAGAAAACATGGCTTCCTGTATTCTCCAGACCAACGGGGGCCTCGTCTGGTACACTCGGCGTGATGATAGCTGCATACTGCGAAGCAATAAAGTCAAAGACAGGCCTCATGGCAGCCAAGCTGTCGCTAGCCATCAGTTGCGTCTTGCGAGTGAAATTGTCGGCGTTCTCGACGTGCTCGATCAAGACTTGGCCGATCTGGTCCTTTCCAACTCTATACTCTGGTAGGAAAGAGGTACGGCCCTCGGTGTGAAGCCCAATACGATACCACTCGGGCACATCATCGAAAGCCGAAGGAAGCTCAAGCTCATGTACTTCTGCACCATGGGATCTGAGAAGATCTGCAGCGCGGGCGAGAGCGTCTTGGGTTCCAGGACCAGCCATGGGCCAGATGCTCGTCTTACAGATTGCGAAACGTGCCCCTGCGATGCCTTGAAAAGACCGATCTTCGTCTTCGTCATCTTGAAGAGCAAAGATATCGGCCAGAAGGACCAGATCTTCGACACATCGTCCATACCATCCGAGAGTGTCGTACATCAGAGCATATATCTTCTGACCTTCGCGAGATACAGAGTTCCAGGTTGGTTTGAATCCATAAATCCCATTGAATGATGCGGGACGAATCATGGATCCGCCTGTCTGTGTCCCAAGGGCCATGGGAGCTTGGAAATCGGCAACAGCAGCGCCGGAGCCGCTGGACGATCCGCCCGGAGTGCGTAAGTGGTCATGTGGATTGTGAGTATTGGGACCGACGTGGATAGCAGCAAACTCGGTGGTAGTTGTTTTACCTAGCTTGTCAGATGCAAGTGTGCAAAGCATATATAGAACATACCGAAGATGAGGGCACCAGCATGACGAAGGATTCGTACGGAAGCAGCATCTGTCTCGGGGAAATGGCCATCATATAGTGGCGAGTTGAACTGAGTAGGCATGTCTATACAACAGTAAGCTTCGATAATAGTGGGATATGAGTTAGTCAACTA